CCTGACCTCAGGTGATCTGCCCACCTCGGCCTCCCAAAGTGCTGGGATTACAGGTGTGAGCCGCCGCACCTGGCCCGGAAAGGATGTTTTATTTTGAGACAGAGTCTTGCTGTGTTGCCCAGGCTGGAGCACAGTGGTGCAGTAGTGGCTCATTGTAGCCTCTACCTTCTTGGCTCAAGCCATCTTCCCACCTCAGCCTCCCAAGTATCTGGGACTACAGACGTGTAACACATCCAGCTAATATTTAAATTTTTTATAGAGATGAGGTCTCCCTGTGTTGCCCAGACTGGTCTCAGACTCCCAGCCTCAGGCCATCCTCCTGTCTCAGCCTCCCAGAGTGCTGCCTCAGCTTCCCAAAGTGCTGGGATTACAGGCATGAGACACCACGCCTAGCCTAGAAGGGATCTTAAAAGATAATTTATTCTGCCTTCAGTGTTCTTTTAGCATTATGGTTTCTTCACCGATTTTTATTTGTTCTTTTATTACTATTAAATTATTATTGAGATGAGGTCTCGCTCTGTTGCCCAGGCTGGAGTGCAGTGGTGCTGTCATTACTCACTGAAGCGGCGACCTCTGGCTCAAGAGATCTACCTGCCTCAGCATCCTGAGGTGTTTGTACTACAGGCACATGCCACCATACCTGGCTGATTTTTTTTTTTTTCATAGAGACAGGGTCTCACTATGTTGTCTAGGCTGGTATCAAACTCCTGGGCTCAAGCAACCCTCCTGCCTTAGCCTCCCAAAGTGCTGGGATTATAGTCGTGAGCCACTGCACCCGGCAAAAAATGTTAATATTATTAATACTATTTGACTTTATATTTTGTTTTACTGACTTTCACTGTATTTCAATTTTAGCAATTTGTTCATCTTTTTCTTCATGAGTGATTATTATAGTTTAATGTTATGCTTAGTAAGGTATTTCCCACTTCCCCTCATGAAATTGTGGAAATACTCTGTATTTCCCCCTTCCTCCCTCCCTCCCTCCCTCCTTGTTTCTTTTCTTTTCTTTTCTTCTTTCTTTTTTGAGATAGGGTCTCTCTCTGTTATCCAGTCTAAAGTACGGTGTTGTGATCTTGGCTCACTGCAGCCTTGAATTCCTGGGCTCAAGTGATCCTCCTGCCTCAGCCTTTTGAGTATCTGGGACTATAGGCATGCACCACCGTGCCCAGCTAACAGTTGTATTTTTAGTAGAGTCGGGGTTTCATCATCTTGGCCAGGCTGGTCTTGAACTCCTGACCTCGTGATCCTGCGTCAGCCTCCCAAGGCACTGGGATCACAGGCGTGAGCCACTGCGCCTGGCCTCCTCTTTTTTTTCTTTTTTTGAGGCAGAGTCTTGCTTTGTTTCTCAGGCTGGAGTACAGTGATATGATCTGGGCTTACTGCAGTCTCTGCCTCCTGGGTTCAAATGATTCTCGTGCCTCAACTGCCTGAGTAGATGGGACTACAGGCGTGCACCACCATGCTTGGATTGTTTTTTTTTTATTTTTAGTAGAGATGGGGTTTTCCCATGTTGGCTAGGCTGGTCTTGATAGCCTGACCTCAGGTGATCTGCCCACCTCGGCCTCCCAAAGTGCTGGGATTACAGGTGTGAGCCGCCGCACCTGGCCCGGAAAGGATGTTTTATTTT